AATATTTTTTGTGCAGTTTACAGTCAGGGAAAAGTAAATTAATGGTGTAAAATGCATTACACTGCATTTTATATTTAAGTGTCGGGGTGTGCGATAAACTTACCTCCACGTGGTGCACCCTGGGCAACGTATAATCATACGGCAAAAAAGTCTATTAACTGGCAGTTGACTTCTGACTTCAAACTACCCTCACCCCATTGTATGTCATATTCGACCCCTTCCACAGTACTCATCTAGCGTTTTCTCTGCCTTTGTGTCTGTCTGTCTCTTTCACATCTGTGAATCGCTCTTCTTTTCCCCTGACGAATTTTTCCCACTTTAATGTTCCTCCCTTCCCTGTTCCCCATCCCTCGACTTTCTGTTACTTGGATGTTCCGTCTACAGCCCGAAGTCAGCTAAAGAGCTAATGATAACTATCAAAATGCCTGCTATTTGAAAAAAATATATTTAAGTGTCTCCTTGTCGCTTCACTCTCCCCTGCGCCTTTGTAAAATTTAATCCTTGGTGTGTTGGAGGAATCACCAAAGAGTTCTTCCTCAGTCTAAACTCTATTGAACTGCTGTGCTCTGTTTGCTGAAACTAAAATGCATTCCACTACCAGTGAACTATCCTGAAATTTGCACTCTACAAATTAGGGTGATCTTAAACCGACGTTTTCTTACGCATAAAAGCAGATTACTGTCCAGAAATTTGTCACCAGTTTCAATGAGAGTCATTTCAAAAATGTCTTTCAAGAAATTCACAGGTAGGGAAGAGGTCGAGCACGATCCTAAATTTCGTGGATCATTTTTCTTTTTTCGCAAACTATTTTCTCTCTCCGTCGGCAATGCTAACGCTTCCCATATAATTACATGTGTATAACTAATGTATTATTCAATTTAACTCATCATCTAATTCCTGGATCCGTCGGTTTCACACCATTCTATTACCTGATCAACCAAATTTCAAGTACCTCGACATGGTGCAAATGATCTTATATACCTTGATCTGAGCTAAAAAAACAAACAAATAAACTGTCTGCCTAACCCTTCCACCTAAATAATAGCTAACACCGAGGTCTGAAGATGCTTGCCTTCAATAAGGCAATTTTAGAAGTACTTAGTTTGATTGTCTCATTCCGATCATTACAATTGTCTTCTTCTTTGTCTGTATTATTCTCACAATCTCACATACGTGACAATTTTGGTCCAGTTTTGAATGAGCGCAGGCCGGAAGTAGTTCATTTGAATGTCTGTTGTTGTTTTGGGTTTTTTAGGAACTTCGGTCTCTCAAGTTAGAAAATTAAATATTGGTTTGTCCCATCAATAAATATGCGGTTTAAGTTAACTAACTCTTCGCTCGTAAGTCAATTACTTTCTCATATTCAGAAACAATCTAGTTTAATAAGTTAATGTGCCCCCTTTTAAATAACTTTTTAATGTAAGCACTTCAAATTATCTTATGCCTTAGGCTCTAATTTTTCTAAGGCTGGCAGTTTACTAGAATTCCAAATATAGAATTCTAAGCAAACTACGTTGTACTTGGCTCAAACAAGATACCAATAGACCGAGGAATTAAGTCAAACAGTCATCAACCCTCACCAACGAATGTAGGGATCACTTCATGAGATTGGAATTTCAAGAGGATTAATTTAATCAAAACTGATGACCTGAATCCAGTTCGTAATTCTTCCTGTTCTATTATTCATTTCCCGCCCCATCGGAACCGTTTTCGTCGTTCTTATTTTTGTGCGCTGCCATGGCAATAATAACAGTATAAAATCTTATGAATATTTCAATTTTTAAATTATTTTATTATCTGCGAAAACACAGGTCGAGAAATGGATCTCATTAATTGAATATAATTAATTAAAAATAGCAATGGAAGGAAAATCTCCAAAAATCCTAGTTTATCTTCACTAGTAATCATTTAATTTCAAAGTAGGCCAGTAAATTAGTAAAAACATGGTATTTATTTTGCTAAATTTTGTCGAAAATACTATCTTCAAAGAGTTATTTTAAAATCTAGATTAATCTTAGAGGAAACCGCGTACCATTGACCCTCAAATTATCTGACTATAATTGAATTCTGAACTCTTCTGTTAACCTTGAGTTAATTTTGAAATGACCACAATATATAACTAAATAAAAAGAGGAAAAATTTAATTAATTCTAATTTCTTAAAAAGTCGTGCTTTCCATCTGAATTTCTTCATTTTGTTCAATTATCCTAAAAAGGATAAAATTCATTTCGGTCCAGTGTTTGATGTCAATAGATGTTTATTAAGAAAAACGACATACAAGAAATAATAGTAATTGATTTTCAATTGCGGCTAAATTTCCATTTGTAATAATTTGGGTTCGTACATTTACCATGAGCATCTCGATTTAATACCATCTGCCAGAAATTGGTGGTAATCTTAAGCCCCCCCCCCCACACACACACAAATGTGTGAAAATGACCCACTTCTGGATCAAGACAACCAAGATCAAACACCTCACTGACCGCAAACTCGACCATATTTCTGACACACTTAATAACCAACCCCTACCACTTTTGCTACCGTCTGGGAAGGACTTTTTTAGTGGGAGTTGGCGTCCGTTTGACTGTAGCATTACACATTAGAGCGCGTAATAAGTAACGCACCAAAGATCAATGATTTGGAACAGGCGTATTTAATAACGTGAAGGAGTTAAGATTTGAATTCATTAATCACTAAGTTGTCCACTTCTCACAATCGTTAATAACCCCAATTCCCAATCTTTCGGATGAATCCATGATTTCAGAGGTTGTTAACTTTTTGAATGATCATACCATGAGGTTTTGGGAAGGTAGTTTAGACATTTGAAATGAGTAAATTCAAGGTAGATCCTGATATCGTTATCTTGTATCCCCTTCGTCCTTAAAGTGGATCAGATGGCAGACCTCTTTAAGGGCATAACTTCTTAATTGTCGGAGTTGTGCTAAGAGCACACTTGGAGATTGCAACACTTTAATTGTAACATTTTGGTCATGAAATGTAGAATTCACTTTGGCGCTAAAAATGTGTTTTCCACATTTTTCTCGCGAAGAAAATTTTAGTCTATAAAAAATTAGAACTATATCTTCGATTCAGCCTAAGTTTTGGAACGCTTTGTGGGAAAATTATGCCGAATACCTTCCTCAATTATGTAATATATCATTTGACAATAACTTTCGCATATCTGTCATTACTCTTAATTGGTTGATAATTTTTTTTGCTATAAACAAGTTATTCAACTTAACTAATTGGCATTTAAACAAATAATTTATAATAAATTAAATTTTGTCAGATTCTTAACAATAAATTTATCGCATTCTTACTTTAATTCAGCTTTTAATTTGGTTTAAGTAAAACGCGAGAAAATTTTATGACATTTGATCCTTTTCCTCTCATTGAGCGCGCGTTTTAGTCAAAGCAAACTGTCATAAGCATGTGTGCGTACAATTATTGGTTGGGCGCGCCATCAATTATTATCCAATCAGATGGCAGCATAGATGCGACGAAGAGCACCAAGATAGGCTTAAATTTCTTCGATAAAATACAGCAGATGACCCACCTTTTAGAGCATTTGAGTCAATTTCTGTGATGAGATCAACCTCTTGGAATCAGTACTTTACGTAAGCTTCGAATTTATAATTTTATATCCCCTAAGAGCCACTGAATTGCAACAACACTTTCAAGTCGATCAGAACGGTTATTATGTACCACCAGCATATATCCAAGAGTACAAACGATATCGTTGTTATTGTGGATCAGATCATCAAAATTTGCCAAATTTAGAGCCATTAATTGAGAATCCATACTCCAATGATGGTGCTTTTGTTCCGATTGAGGCAGGGAGCAATAGAGGAATTAGTCGAATAAGTGAAGCAACTTCCACAGCTATATCAAATAGCGACGGGGCTTCTGTATGTCCCACATTAACAGCTACTAGGGAGAAGTCAAAGAATGCGGCTCGCATGCGGCGAAGCAATGAGAATTGTGAATACAAGGAACTCTCCCACTATCTCCCTTTACCTTCAGATGAAAAGATTGTGCTCGATAAAGCATCTTCCATCCGACTCACAACCAACTTTCTTAAAATGAGAGCTCTACTTTCTTCAAGTACGTTAGAGTTGTATTTTTAACTTACGAAAGTCACTTAACCAGTATTGATAATGAGCATGTGGGATTACAAACTTACATCAAATAGTTTTGTAAGTATTTAGTATTTGAATGTAATTCGAGAGGGAATAGATTATCGCAAGGCTGTGCTTACCTTTTCATATAATATCACCTTAAAAATTGTTTTTCATTGCTTAAAGCATTCACAATAAGCACGAAGTGCTTAAAATTTTAAAATTCCTGTAATTCCCTGTTTTCATAATATTCTTTACTTCTGCTTGAAATTTTCATAGATATACAAGGGAGTTAAGGCAGACGACATCCAGACGAAAAAGATGGCAAAGTGGATTCGAAAACTGTTTCCTAGTAACTGATGTTTTAGATTGGATTTTTTAAATCTGACACCTTTTTGTAGCCACTATTATTGCAAAGGTTATTCATGAAAGGGAGGAAGCAGTAAAATATTGAATCGAGAAAAGGAACGGAGCTCGTTTAGGAGTCCAGAGAAAAGTTGAGAATGGAAAATCGTGCCTATTTTGAATGCTGGAAGCTTTAGGCTGCCGACTTTTGTTAAAGAGAAGTAATTCACTCATTGTTAACAAAGCGATCAAAACTTTCATTGCTTAATTGCTGGGTGAAGGCAGGTATGATATATTCAGAAGTTGTTGAAGAGTTTACTTAATTGGAGGGATTGACGTGCCACATTGAACCATTTATGCCCCTCCGATCATCAGGTAGGCGAAATTAACTAGAATTCTGAGTTTCAATTTGTAAGGTGATAGAATCTTTTCATTACTCAAATCGTCACTCTAACCGAGACGAGTTAGGTGAAGATCGGTCAGATGGCGGTAGATATGACCATGTTCACTAAACCATCTTGACTCAGATTGCTTGAACAAATACTCTTACATCTGAGTTGTGTCTAGAATGAAGCTGAACAGTGACCCACACGTCCTTGTGACTTCATCAATAATTTTTCTTTATTTATTTGGTTTATTAGAAGAAAGAAGTGATCGAAGCACAATGCCAAAGCAAACTAGCTTGAGTACCGCAATAGAAGATGTGCGTCCTTATTCATATTGTTGACTAATTATTGGTTATCGTTAATTCAATTATTGGCAATATTTAGGCTCTGGATGGATTCCTGGTGGTTTTATGTGGGGAAGGTTCAATCCTTTATATCTGTGATACAATAAAATTTATCCATGGCTTATCCAAGGTACGATTTTATTAATTTGATTAAAAAAATTGTATACTATTTAAATCGGTCAATGACAGTATTGGAATGAAATGTCATTGTATTTTAAATTAAACTCTTCCTTTTAATAAATATAGTGGGAGATTACGGGGACTAAGTTTCTAGATATTGTAAAGAGAGAAGATCAAGAGGAATTTCTTCAAAATCTCCACTTAACTCCATGGGAAGAAGGCGAAATGGATTGCATTAATAAAGGTATCCCCTTGATTTGTCTCCTTATCTTAATCACACCTTCTCCCATAGATTATTCCTTTGTACGCCGATTTGTTATTAGGATAAAGTGTCTCCTAACTAAAAGCAGAAATTCTCTCAGTTGTGAGGGCTATAAAGTAAGTAGCTACTCCCAAAATGACAACGTTAATAGGCTATTCATTTTGAGGGTCATATCAAGGCGAAATTGGTTCAAATCAATGAAACTCTTGTTAAGCAAGTGCAATACCTTATCGGGGTGGCTCATACTTTGCCTGTTGTGAGCAGAATATCCATGGAGGTAAAATTGAGCCGTGATATGTTCATGTTTCGTGCTGGATTGGATCTGAAGCTCTCATACGTTGATGACCAGTAAATCAAAGCATAATACCTGAATAAACCATCAAATTTCACCAAAGAACTAACGGTGTTATCAATCTTGCATTTAGAATTGAAAGATTAACCGGGTACCTGCCTAAAAATGTGGTTGAAAAATCCCTCTATGATCTGATTCACTGTGGTGACGCAGAGGAAGTTTCAGAAGGCCACAAGACACGTAAGATTTTTTCTCTCCAATAGGGTTCTGAGGCCCCATGATGCCAGCTAAAACCTTTTTAACAGTTTTAGATAAGGGTCAGGTGATATTTAAACTGTTCCGATTGCTATGTTTAAACGGCGGATGGATTTGGGTCCAGGCATACGCAATAATTCTGAGAGGTTCGGGGGTGTCTAAACCAGACTTTATTGTCGGGTTTGCTAACGTCCTAACGTAAGCTCATTTATCGCGTCTATTCCCCCCCCCCCAGTGGTTGTGAATTATCCTCTATTTTGTCTGTTTTTTTAGAGGCATTCAAGGAGTTAATATGAAGTTAGATGTATGCCAACTTGGCGTTGGAGCGGAGAGATCATATGAAAATGAAATTGTGCCAAATAAAGCCCGCCGGAAACGCCGATGCCCTGCATTCGAATTGGATGAAGATAGCACACCAGAGAGCTACTCAATTAGCGAAACAATATTCACTGAGAGATTTAGCTCCAACTCCGATCATTACAATCCAAACAATAGCACTATGAATCCTAATTGGACACATTATCATAAGGTTCACGAGCCAACTAAGTCGAGACAAGGGATAAGTATTGATACAGCGCATTCTGAAGGAAATACTGTGAATCTTCCACCTTCTTTGGTTGTCCATAGCTTCATGGAACAATTGAGTATTAAAACATCCGCAAATTCCACTTGCCATGGGAATTGGTTGTATCCTCTTCATTTTCACCGTCAATATTGACCTAATTTTAGTATTATTCAATATTTTTAAATATATGTGACTATTATGACAATTCGATTGTTTAACTGAAAAATGGCAAGTCAGCACGAAGATTAAATACTTGGCATAGAAAATGTTTTAAGATTTCACACAAATCTGTCTGTATAATTAAAACATTGTCCATGATTATGGTTATCTCATTTTACCGTGCTACAGAAATTTTAATAACGAGTCTGGACGTAATTTTAGCAATTCCGACGGCGAGTTGATCTTCAACCAACAAATACATGTGAAAATAATCCCCCCACTTGAAATTTCTCCGAACAACTTCACTTTGGCCTGAGTCGTTTCTATCTCCAGTCGTGGACATGCTACTTGCCTCTTTAAATCTGCCTCGTAGACTGGAGCAGATAAGTCACTTCAAGAGAAATGTGTCTCCGCGATTACCCCCCCCCCCACCCCCTGAATTTCTAACCGTCTTAAAAATGTGACTTCCATAAAGTGTAGTCAGTCATCGTACAGCTAACAAAAGATAAGCTGTTTAAAATTCTGTACATAGAAATTGATAGTAAAATGAATTCATTTAAAAATGAAATAATAAGGAAACATATCATAACAAAGGTGTTCAAAACTAGGGAGAAGACAGGTGAGGGGGACGTGGGCAAACATTGAGCATAATCATGGGGAGAAAATGTTGGATTTATTTTCTTGGTAAATTGGATCAACACAGCAGGGGACTGCGCCAAGTTGATCGTCCTGAGTGACCCCGAAAATGTGCATAAGCAGGGTGTTTAAAACACCTGCAATTTTGGTTCCATTTTAAATGTTTTAAACCGAATAGATGTTTGATTCTAATGCATAATAAGCGTTTTCGTTGAGTAATTGTCAAGTTAGTGAAGGTCAAACAATGGACGCCAAATGTCACGCTCATAAAAAGTGGTTTGAATAGTTAAAACATGAAAAGAAACAGTAATATTATGATGAGATTACATTTATATTTCATATGGAGAACAAAAGGCGTACTGTGAAGATTTAAATAAATGAAACGAAGATCAAGATCGAAATATATTTCTGCTTTGACATTCCTGTTGTAGTAATTTTGAAATTACTAAAGGCCAATAAAATATAACGCGATTGCAACGAATGTTCGATCGTAAAAAGGATAATTCTGACCTGGTGGCAGCCTTTGAAGTAAGGAGAACTACCACTACTTTCTGAAGAAGTTTTCATTATTCGATTTTAAAAACACTTGTTAGTGGTAGAGGGGAATCATTCGGAAGCTAAACGTGTGTGCAGTGATTTCCTGTAATTCGTTGAATTTGGCAGGCGTAATCACAGGTTAACTTGATGATTAATTGGTGGGATGGCGAAAACTTGGGGCAGAGGGGAAGGAACAGGGTGAGAGGGGGAAGACATAGGTGGTTTAAAGTAGTCTCAACCTCTCCCCCCTTCCTCACCCCCCCCCCCCCCAATTCGAAAGGGTGTCGGAGAAGGGGGAGGTGGGCTATTCACGGATTCCTCGTTTGTGGACGTTCTCCCCTCCCCCCTCCCCCCCTAAAAAGTAGGTGAGACTCCTTCAAATATGTTCCACCACTTTCAAATAAAAAAACTATTCGACCAATCGGTAGATATTGATATTCAACTTTATATGCGTATTCTAGGCTTCTGTTTAACAAAACCCAAAGTTCAAGAGAAAATGGGGGAGGCCTTTCTTTTCAATTAAAGAAGAAAGGGGCATCGGCTTCAAAAGAATTTTCCACTAATTACGGCATCTGTGGTCCATTTTGTGAAATAAGTTTCCTGTCTGCTTTGCTAGTATTAAGAGGTCTATTTCCTTTTGCTATGGTCTTCGATTGGTAGATATTGCTAGGCTACATTTGACGTAGGCTTGGTGAAGTAATTTAAGTTAATCTAAGGCTAAACATAGGCCTTTAGGGGTTTTGGCGAATCACGAATACTTTTTGCCTGGAAAAATAACTTATCAGATCAATTTTAATTACTCATAGAAGTGCCCACTTGTTAAATTGCATCAAATTTAAAGGTCCTTGTCTTGCCAAGCCGTCAGAAGTAATGCGGATTCTCGTTTTGCCTGAAAGGATAGGCACTTTGTAACTGTCCTTGGAAGTTTATTTATTTATTTATACCAAATGGCAGGCGTTTTGATAGTTATCATTAGCCCTGGAGCTGACTTCGGGGCTTCATGAAGAGGAGAAGGGACACCAAAGTGACAAAAAGTTGAGATGGGAGACAGAATAATAATTCACAGAGGTAAAAGAGACAGACAGACAGACACAAAGGCATAAAACAAGGTAAGATAAGTACTGTGGAAGGGGTTGAATATGAAAAATAGTCGGGCCATAGAAATTTGAAGTCAGAAGTCAACTGCCGATCAATAGACTTTTTTGCCGTATAAGTATACGTTGCCCAGGGTGCACCACGTGGAGGTAAGTCTATTGAGCAACCCTTCTGCTACGTCCCCTGTTTTCTGATGATAGATTCGGTGATAATGAGTGAAGGTTCAGGAGGAAAATTCCTAAAAAAGTGTCGCAGTTAAATAAGGTTTCTATTTACCGTGGTTCTTCTTACATCGAAAATCAAAAGTTGGGTTTTAGCACTGGGACAACGCATTTTTCACCAGTGGACTATTCAAGTTTCCTTGTGGGCTTGAAGAATTTAAAAAAAATGAATATAATAAGTTGGAGTAGAATAATGATGCAGATACTTAAAATAAGGAAGTGAACAAAGATCTGCGGTCAAATTGATTTAGCCATGCGATTCACTCTGGTTGGAAACTAGGTGTCTGGTGTCATGGTAAAATCTATCAAAGTAAAATATCATTTGCTGTAATTATTAATTGTAATAAAAATTGTGCAAAGACTAATTTTGGGAGTATTTGCTTATTCTAGCACCCATAAGCGAGAATTTTCCCGTGATTTCGCTTTAATTATGGCAACATTCGTTTCAAAAGATGGCAACAAGTAGTTTTAATGGTTTGCAAATGTTTTTTATCCTAAAACTGGATGGGAAGGTATTAAGAGGAGTGGAGAACTTTGAAGCAGAATTCTTCTCTTTAGTCAAATCGAAGAAATGATAAAGACCAGGCATCCTTCATTTATCCCCCGACAAAATCATTTTAAATGAAGAAGAGTATTTATCTATATGAGCAGTACACCTTAAATGACACTTAGAAGCAATTCATCCAATTGTCATATACATTTAGGAAAATGACAAGCCAGGTCACATTTCGAGAGCGCAGTTTCGGCCCGACTGTGCTCCAATTACCTGTTTCCCTCACCAGTTGACAATTCCTCCTATTCACCAACGAAAGTTGCAACTTTTGCGGTTGACTTCTACATCATTGTTAAATTGGAATTAATCATGGAAAATGTTAAGGTTGCAGCAGTAGCGGTAGCAGTGATTACTCAAGCGCAAGGGAAAAGTTGCGTCCAAGTCATTGAGTAATGGCAACATCGGGGGGCGCGCACATACACACACACACACACGCTAGGTGACATTTCGATACGTGCTTCTCTCTTTGCAAGAGATCACCGCACTACCAGGAATGGGAATTTCGGTGGTGAGGTGAGCACATGAGTGCATGCCTTCTCTAAAACTGGGACACGCAGGTGGCGTGGGTAATTTCGGCGGTCCTTCAAAATACACACACACACACACACACACACACACACACGCACACAACATGCGAGACGCTAAACGATGATTTCCGGTACTTTTCATGTGTATACAGCTCCAGTAAGCATGTGCTTATGCATACAGCACGAGGTGTCTACCAAAGAAATGATCTGAATACCCTTCAAAATATAATGACAAGTGGCAGAACAATAAAAAAATGGTGGAGGTTTCAGTACTGAAGACAAAAGTTCAGGGCAAACAGCAACAGATAGGATTTCATTATTTTGCATTTTTGAAATCTCTTCAACTTCCATTTCGACTAAATGTGGGAGAGGGCGAACTCTTAAATGAACCAATTTTCTATTTAGATTTACAGTGTTGTTTAGCAGTAGGGAGCTTTATCTTACTTACAACGATCAACAATTTAGTCATTCAAATTTTTCTTCGAAAAGGATTTGAAATCTCACCTTAATAAATGCTACAGTGAGTGAGTTTTGTGCGGAGAAAGGAAAGAAATCGTTTACTTTTTAATAGAGATCAACTTTCTATTGAAATTCACTGAAATCCAATGGTTTCAAATGACACATTTATGAATGTTTCAATATTAACAAAATAGGAGAGTTAGCAAAATGTTGCCTATTAGATTCCATGGAGGACTATAAAGAAAACTCGCAGAAAGTCATAGATTAGGACAAAAAGCCAGTCCTTAGTTTGATCGGATCGTCATGACTAAATCATCCAGGAGTATCAATTCCAGTTTTAAAGTAATTTGATCGAAAAAGGCAACTAATGCTATTGAACAATCCGCAGAATCACTGCTTCTCGGTAGCAGTGAATACTAAAAACTTCCAGTGGCAGTTGAGCTAGATTTATTGGAGTAAAATAATATAGTCCCGGATATAATTGTTAAATTAAATTGAGGAAAATTAATAGTTTTAAAAGGGTTATTGCAGAAAATAAGCGGGTTTAGTGGGTCTCTTTTAAGGAATCTATGCAGACAAATGGGCCTTATCTGTGTCCCAACTATAATGCTCACTGTTATGACTATGAATGTGTTTTACGTTTAAATAAGGTAAGGAAAATAATTTTGAAGGCGTTTGAAGGAGACATGTCCATAATTGAGAGAGGTAAAGATAATTTCAGTCAATGAAGATGGGCACATTGGTTAAGGTCATGGATCATGCACGCAACCAGTGTCATAAGCAAAGAACCGACTGAGTTAGTCATAATTTATTGGAGAGGAGGTAAAATGCATGTTTCACTTTACGATCGGCCACTCATGAGCTTGGGAAGTTTAGATGAGTAAATTAGCAAAAAATCAATTCCAATTAATAGATTTTGCACTATTTGCTTTGCTAATGTCTTCTTTTAATAAAAGTAATTATTTA